GCGATGGAGAAGGGGGAAGGGAGGGGCATTCGGAATTCCCAGCAGAATGGCAGGTCTTAGCGCCCACCTCAGTTCCACAGATGAACATTCAAAGCTGAAGGGACAGACTTGCTTCTCAGCAAGATTTCAAAGCTGTGCATCAGTGGGAAGGAAAACAGGAAGGCGAGGGGTGTGGGGGTGTGGGGTGTGGGGGGCTAGAAAACGGGATGGAGGAGGGGACAGCAGGGGCATGCCCAACCCGGGCCAGATCAGATGGGAAACCGCCCAACCCCTCACCCGAAACTGACTGAAGTACTGAAATGACGCCCCGTTTTTTTTTTATGAGGTGCGAACATTTCAGGTATGCTGGCAGTAATGATGCCCTGGGCCCAGCTCTGAGCTTTTGGGTTTCAAGTTGCCAGCTGCTGGCCTGAAAAAGCCTCAGGTGAAGATGAACTTCTTCAAGCTACAGAGTGGCAGGTGAAACCATGAGAGGCGAAACCTGGAAGAAAATCCAGCCACCCGATTTGCTGTGTGCTTCTCCACCCCCCACCCCCACCCCCCCAGGTCACCAATCACGTGTGTGCATGGGTTCATGCAAAAGAACATGGGCAAGTTCCGTGTTCGTGTTCGTGTGTGTGTGTGTGTGTGTGTGTGTGTGTGTGTGTGTGTGTGACAGAGAGAGAGAGACAGAGAGAGAGACAGAGAGACAGAGACAGAGAGACAGAGAGAGAGAGAAAGAGACAGAGAGAGAGACAGAGAGAGACAAAGACAGAGAGACAGAGACAGAGACTCTGGGAACGGAGCGGGTGGAGCCAAGCCCAGAGAACTGCATTTGGATTATTTGAAGATGACAACATTCAGTTCTGACCTCCAAAGGGCCGAGGAAAAACACAGCTGCTCCCAGTTGGTGCTGACTCCCACTCTGTTTCCCTCAGCTCCGCAGAGTCCCGGGTCTGGAGGTCGCTCCCACCCTGCCCCCACCCTTGCTCTGTGCCCAGCAGGGGCAGGTGCCGTCACAATGGCTTACCGAAATTTTTCCTCTTTCTTTGTTAATGAGAACTGACTTGGCATTTAATAAAACCTTATTTATACAAGGGCTACGTGTGCACGAGAAGCAGCCCCTCTGAGGGGCTGGCCCAGCACTCCCACATCAGAATGGCAGTGGCTGAGCGCCAACCAGCTGCAATAACAGCCAGGCCCCAGAGGCTAGCCATGCTCCTCCGGGGGAGGTGGGGGCGCGGGGTCTGCCCTGGCTGGCCACCCTGTGCCTGCCTGGGGATCATTTTCCTAAAACCACTCCCAGGATGGGTACAGGAAGCAATGAAAGCAAAATCTCATTTAATGCTTGCTATTTCTTTTAAGTTCTTTATTAGTGATTTATTTGCCTTTAATGTTTAGCTGCCCTGTTCATTGGTCCCGGGGAAGGCACATTTCAAGGGCACCAGACGACTAGACGGGGTGTTTGCTCTTTGCTAAGAGCTCACGTGTTCTGTGTTAGCGCTCTCCTCACTGAGGCAGAAGCAGGAATCAGGAGAAGGGCAAGCAAGGTCTCTGAAGCGGCCGGATGCCTCCCACTGGGGTGTTTTCCTCTGGCCTGCCTTGGCTGGGCAGCTCTGTTGAAGGGAATGGGCAGGCAGGCAGCACTCTGTTCTTGAAGCCCAGAGGTGTTTGGGGTACAAGTGTTACTGTTTGGTCTACAGAAAATGAGATTGTAAAGGTAAACTCTTTTGTTCAAGGTTCATAATTTTTGACCCTGACTGGACTTTGAAATTATCTGGGAAGCTCTGGAAATATTCAAGTATACAGTCTGTACCCTGTACGACTGACTCAGGGTCTCTGGACTCGGAGTCGGGGGCTTGTTTGAGATAGTCTCATTTAGTCATGTAGCCATGTAGCCAAGGATGACCTCACATTCCTAATCCTCCTGCCTCCACCTCCCCAAGCACTGGGATTACAGGTAGACACTGCCATGGTCAGTTTTATGCAGTGCTGGGTATCAAACCCAGGGCCTAGTTAGGCATGCTAGGCAAGTACTCTTCAATTGAACGGAATCCCCAGGGCTGCATATGTAGCTGTTAAAGCTTTCCTGGCGCTTCGACCTACAGCTAAGCCAAGAACTGCTATTCCCGGGGACGAGTACTGTTTGTGCTGGGCTTTCTAAACTGAGCAATAGGCTTTCTAAACTGAGCAATAGGTTTGTTGACTTGTTGCAAGTTGAGATTAGGAGGCTCAGTGTTGGTACTGGGGCCTCAGCTCAGTGCCCGTCCCCTGCAGGTACCTGCTGCAGCTGTGAACGTGTAGACACCTGGACAGAGGGGGTAAAGAAGTACCTTGGGCCCATCTAAGTCAGTGAGGGTTGCTGGGGATGTCTTTCTGTATGCTGTGAAAGTGTGTTGCTCTGATTTGGTTGATAAATAAAACCCTAATTGGCCAGTAGCCAGGCAGGAAGTATAGTATAGGCGGGATAAATAGAGAAGAGAACTCTGGGAAGAGGAAGGCAGAGTCAGGAGCCACCAGCCAGACACAGAGGAAGCAAGATGTGGAGGCAGAACTGAGAAAAGGTACCAACCCATGCGACTAAACATAAATAAGAATTATGGGTTAGTATAAATGTAAGAGCTAGTCAGTGGTAGGCCTGAGCTAATGGCTGAGCAGTTTTAATTAATATAAGCCTCTGTGTGTTTACTTGGGTCCAAGCGGCTGCAGGACTGGAGGGTGAGAGAGATTTGTCCTGGCCATGGGCCAGGTGGGACACAGGAAAGCTTCAACTACAGAGGCTACCTGGTAAAACTTCTGATCTCTAAACTCAGTGAAAGGCAAAAGGAAGGTTTCCTGTTCTTCCTTGTTTGATAAGTAAACACTCAGGTCAGTGGCCCCAGCGTGGGGTTAACTATAGTTTAGATCTTGAGTGTCATACAAAGCCCATCTGTTAAAGGCATGGCCTCCATCTTGGACAGGGGTAGTGGGAGGTCCTTAGGCTATTGGGAGGTCTGCCATAGAAGGGTATAGTGGGAACCCCAAGCCCTTCCCCTTTTTATCCTTTGCTTCCTGGCCAAGAAATGAGTGGATTGTTCCACCATGAATTCTGCCACAATGTACTGCCTCATTACAGGACCAAAAGTGATGAGTCCATCAGCCACAGCCTGGAAACTCTAAACCTGTGAGCCAAAGGGAACCCTTTCTCGGACTGACTGAGGTACGTGTTACAGTAAAGCAGAACTAACACAAGGTCTAGTCACTAATGGATAATTTTGTCCAGATGCAAAATCTTATCTGGCTGTACCCAGGACTGGCTGAATTGAAGACCATGCCCCACCATAGACCAAGTGTTGCTTTGTAGTCTGCTGTAGGACAGAGATGTTCAGGCCACAGGCTGTTAATTCTCTCCATGGTGTGGGAAGCATCAAGACCATCTCTGGGGTCCTAGACTTTTTATGGTGGCCTCCTCAGGTCCTGACCCTTTTGACCTACTTTGGAAGTCCACCCCTCAGTGAGCTGGGAAAATTGCAGAATAACTTCCAAGGGAAATTCAAAATAAACTCTGCCAGAAATAACAAGGCCTATTTTATTTGACTCATTTTAAAGAATTCATCTGGCTTCTTTTCTTCTCCTATCTTTCTTTTCTTTTCTGTGTATCCCCTACCCCCTTCCCCGAGACAAGGTCTCTTGTATCCTAGGCTAGCTGGAGATGAGTGTGAACATCTGGCATTCCTGCCCCCACCACCTAAGTGCTGGGTTGCAGCTATTGACATGTGCTGAGGAACTAACCCCGGCTTTGTGCATGGGACACAAGCACTCTTACCAACTTGGCAACAGCCCTGCCCCCAGTCTAAAGACAAAGCTGAGAGCAGGAGAGAGAGAAAGATCAAGAGTGAGAGACAGTGGGAGAACAAGGACCGTGAGAGCGAGAACAAGAGAGAGGGGGTGAGAACAGACCTTTACTGGCATTTGAGAAAGCCACCATAAAGACAGACCAAATGTGAATTCCGTAATCAGCAATTAATTCCAGAATGTCTCAAAAAATATCTTAGTGATTGACATTCCTCATGGTACAGTTCCAGAAATTAAAATACAGGCAAAAAGAAATATATAATTAGGTGCTAGAGGCAGTTTATATTTTCCAAAGGATTCTAGTGAGTATTCCTCAAAGTGTGGCCTCTGGGGAACCCCATCAGAATCTCCTAAGCAATGAGGCATCTCCTCACCCGCGGGCTGGGGACTTGAACTTGCATGTTGCAGTAACCTCTGATGACAACACGCTTCCTAAAGGTTGACACGTCTGTGCTCTACCACATCCTTCCAGCAAAAGAAGAGGAGACTCTCACAGGCCCCGGGAGTCTGGACTACATACAGTTTTAGAGCAGAAGGCTGGGCTTAGCGATCTAGGCTTTCCAAAATGTTGAGATTATAAAATTTCCTATTTTTTTTCTATCTAGAAAGAGCACCTTTGAGGATCAAGTACAGGTTCACAGGAAGGAGCTCGAACCACGCATTTGCTGAAATTTATGAATGTTTTGCACAGTGTTTTCTATTTCCCTACTGTTATACACAGGTATGTCCAATCTGTGGCCCACAGGCTACAGGTTCACCAAAACAGCTATGAAGGCATCCCAATACACCTGTAGATAATAATGTCATGTTACAGTGTCAAAAGGTTAGACACCCCCTGGAAGTACCATCCTGGCTGTATACATGAACATTAGGACCAGGAAAAAGTCACTGTCTTGCCTGTAATCATGAGCTAGGAATCCACTGGTCTGCAGGTGGTGGAAAACGCTTTTCTCACAGGTGGTGTGGACAAACACCTACCACATCACGTGCTGAGGGGTGAACCTACCTCCTTTCCCTTGCGACTGTTCTAGAAGGACTGCTGTTTTTTCCTTGGGTGCTAGGATTCTGGAGCATCTCCAAGGCTTGTCATCAGCCTCAAGCTCACACCTTCCTCAGTGTCCATTCCCCAGTGGCCTGCCTGCTGCAGGAATCATCTACGAGCAGGGAGCATGTAACCCTTTCCTTACCACACGGAAGAGTTTGAAGAAGTCCACGTTGGCATACAGAGTGTCCTCTATCCACTGTAGGGTGACCTGGGAGAGGGGACACAGGGTATCACGCACGGTCTGTGCCCCTCGATGCTGGCTGAAGATGATGAAACGCTGCAAGAGGGTCTCACTACAGGCAATGCTCTTCAGTTCCAAGTCTGGGACTCCGTAAGCAAACTGCAGGGAGGAGAAAAGACGCTGGAAAACTCTGTGTAGGGAAATAGTACCACCCTCCTGAACAAAGATGCCGCTTCCTGACCCACAGGCCTGACGAACAAATCATATTCCGTGGAAAAGAGAATTAAAAGAGCAGGTAGATTATGCCTGCTAACTAGTTGGTTTAAAACACACAGATTAGCCAGGCAGTCGGTGGTGACAAACACCTTCAATCCGAACACTTGGGAGACAGAGGGAGCCAGATCCTGTGAATTTGAGGCCAGCCTGGTCTACAGAGCGAGTTCCAGGACAACTAGGGCTACACAGAGAGACCCTGTCTTGGGGGAAAAAAAAGACAGAGATGAATTTGAGTCATCCAGTAGGGTTAAATGTTATAGACGGGTACTTGAAATTGTAAGGAGGCAGAAGAAACAGTATTAGAGTACTATGATGTGAGAAAAGCTTTGACAGGCCATTGTTCGTCTTGCAGATGGAGAGGACCTCATCTAAGGAATGTGCACAATCTGCAGAAGATGAGTAGCAAGTTGTTCTAATCTTAGATGGTCTTATAATAAAAAACTCAGAGCCAGATATTGGGGTGAAAGCTGAAAGGTCAGAGAAGCAGCAAGCCACAGCCAACCTCACCTCGCCAACTCCTCAGCCAATCCTGTTTCCTCAGACTGGAAGCCTCTGAGTCCTCACTGGAAAGGATCTCAGCTCAACTGCTTTAGAGCAGCCAGCCACTAGTTCTTACCTCTGTGTAAACCTCAGTCTAAAGAGAGTGAGTTCCTGTTTCCTCATGCCTTATATACCTTTCTCTGCTCAGGCATCACTTCCTGGGATTAAAGGCGTGTGTGCTTCCCAGTACTGGGATTAAAGGCGTGTGCCACCACTGCCTCGCTCTGTTTCCAGTGAGGCCTTGAACTCACAGAGATCCGGACAGATCTCTGCCTCCCCAGTGATAGGATTAAGGGTGTGTGCCACCACTGCTTGGCCTCTATCCCTAATCTAGTGGCTGGTTCTGTCCTCTGATCCCCAGGCAAGTTTATTAGGGTACACAGTATATCACTGCATAGGGTGAGAAAAGGTTTTCCTTTAGACATCCCGGTAAAGACTGTGACTTAATGGTACCTTGACATTCAGACTTCTGACTTCAAGATAATATGCTTCATAATAAACCTGTGTTGTCTTAAGCCTTTAAGTTTGTGGTCATTTGTTATAGCAGTAATAAAAATCTAAATCCTCTCTCAAACCTCACTTTATCAGAAAGCTTTTAAAAATTGAGAGATCTCCTCTGAAAGGGACACTAAGGTGCCATCGAGACTGTCCCCCAGTGGCGGGTGTGGCAGAGTGGTGAAAACACATTTATAATGACAACGACCAACTTCTTCTCACTAGATTTACTACATAAGAACATCAGATGCCTAGATCAGTTTGGTTTTGGTTTTGTTATTGTTTTTTTTTTTTTCTTGATTATTTGAGGCAGGGTCTTGCTCTAGCCCAGGCTAATCTGGATCTTACTCTGAAGCCTAGGTAATTTTTCTATTTCAGAAACCTGACATTACAGGAGTAAGCCATCATACCTGGTACAGTTAAATTAATTTGAATTTCAAATAAATAACAGATAACTTTTAGTATGTCTCAAATTAATTCCAAAGCTATGCTGAAAATTTTGTTTATCTGAAATTCAGCATCAAATATATAACCCGTATTTTTACCACATACCATACCTCCTAGAAGCTCACTGACAATGACTTGGAACACAACTCTGATGGCCTCCATGGCTCAGATGAAAAAGAGGTCCCAACCCTGGTCAGGGCCTCTTGGTTGCCTGGAGTGTTTCCTAGCACCCTAGAGTTTGAGGCTTTATACTGTTGTGGAATATTAATTTAAGATGTGTTACATTTGTTTATGCTGTGGAATTTGTTTTAATGCAAAGATGTGTTGCATTCTTTTATGTTGTATTTATTTAACTCTGTGAAGCTGTGTTATTTTGCCTGTCTAAAACACCTGATGGTCTAATAAAGAGCTGAATGGCCAATAGCAAGGCAGGAGAAAGGATAGGAGGGACTGGCAGGCAGAGAGAATAAATAGGAGGAGAAATCTGGGAGGAGTAGATTAAGGAGCAAGAAAAGCAGGAGAGGAGGATGCCAGGGACCAGCCACCCAGCCACACAGCCAGTCTTGGAGTAAGAGTGAAAGTAAGATATCCAGAAGTAAGAAAAGGAAAAAGCCCAGAGGCAGAAGGTAGATGGGATAATTTAAGTTAAGAAAAGCTGGGTAGCAACAAGCCAAGCTAAGGCCAGGCATTTATAAGTAATAATAAGTCTCTGTGTGATTTATTTGGGAGCTAGGTGGCAAGTCCTGCAAAAAGCAAAGACTAAAAACAACCAACTACATTGTACTTGAAAAAATTCTTAAGACTGGGCCTCAAAGACACCATGTAGCTTCTAATCACACAGATCTCCACACTGGAAAGCAGAGCAGACCCAGGCTGTTATCCCCAGGGAAGTGTTGAGACTACACCGATCCCACCATGAGGCACAGGCTGATGGTGGATCAGCTGTGGATGGTCCATCTGGGGCCTGTAATGGGAGTGTACCCACAGATCATTCTGCCTTTGCCCCCACCTCATTCGGATCTCTGGGCAAACCCATCCTCAAATAAGCTTATTTGTCTGATCTTCTCATACTCCAGAGGAGGAATGGGGACCAGACAATAACATACATACGTATTAGCTAGTGTCTTAGTTTGCTTTTCAATACTATGATAAAAACACCATGACCAAAAGTAACCTGGGGAAGAAAATGTTTATTTCATTTTATAGTTTACAGTCCATCATGAATGGAAGTCAGGTCAGGAACTCAAGGCAGGAAGTTGGAGGTGGGAACTGAAGCAGAAACCACGCATGGAAGAGTGCTACTTAGTAGCTTGTTCTCTATGCCTTGTTAAGCTTGCTTTCGTATACACCCAGGACCACCAGCCCAAGGATGACATTGCTCCCAGTAGGCTGGGCCCTTCCACATCAATCAGCAAAGAAGAAAATGCTCCATGGTCTTGCTTACAAGCCAATATGATGGGGACTGTCTCAGTTAGGACTACTACAGCTTGATAAAACACCATGGCCAAAGCAACTTGGAGAGGCAAGGGGAGGGTTTATTGGGCTTATACTTCCACATCATAGTCCGTCATAGAAGGAGTCAGGACAGGAACTCAAACAGGGCTGGAACCTGGAGACAGGAGCAGATGAACACACCGTGGAGGGGTGCTGTTTACTGGCTTGCTCTTCAGAGCTTGCTCAACCTGCTCTCTTATAGAACCCAGAACTACCAACCCAGGGATGGCACCACCTATAATGGGCTGGGCCCTCCCTCATTGATCACTAATTAAGAAAACGCCCTACAGAGTAGGCTACAGCCTGATCCTAGGGAGGCCTTTTCTGAGATAACTCTAGCTTGTGCCAGTTTGACAGAAAACCAATCAGAACAGCTAACAAATGGGGATTCCACAAGACTCCCACTCATTCCATCACTTATTTTCTCAGCATCATTCACTGAACTCCCATTGTACAGGGAGGGGCTAAGTTAGTGACTGGAGGCACAGAGGTGAATAATACAGGCTCTCTGTCCTTTGAAGAGCTCTCTAACTAGCTAGAAATATGGGCATTTAGACAGGGTAAGTGTAAGAACAAACAGAGCAAAAGCTAGAACA